GAACTTAGTGGCTGAAATTCTTGAGAGTAAATAAGTAACTATATGATTACATTGGTTGAATGTTTCTGTTTTGAATGACTTTCAGAATTTACAAATAATTGATGTCAAAGTATTATAATCATCAGGATCCGTGAATGTCCTCCAGTAATAGAATGATAGGTGTACATTGCTGAGAACAGAATTATTTAATGATTTCTTGGTCTACTTATCTCAATCTTATCACAAAATCCTCGTTGATTGTGATTCCAACAATCCAACAATATATTCTTTATTATCTAATCCTAATTCTTAGAAAACTTGTCTTTTCAAAAGTTTGGTTTCTTAAAAGATGTGACTACTTACTATCATTTACCTGTACATTTATATAGGAAGGATTTCTATTTATAAGCAAAGATGGATTGTTATGTTTTTGACCTCGACTGTAGCCAATTGTTATGACTTGATCAAGGTCGTCGCTGATTCGTTATGACCTTACGAATTTAACAAGGACGTAATCCGCGTAAATTGTCCACCAATAGAATACGACTTCTACAACCTTCACACTGTGACAATGACGTTCGGTTAGTATGAGTAATCTAGCGTCCTTATTGGCCCTTATCTGCCTAACCCGTCCACTTGAGTCCAAAACACCAATAGCAGCTTCGGCAATACGAATCGTTTATTTCAAGCATACTTTGTTTATATATCAGACAGACAGGCCACATCATACCATAAAATAGAAAATAATATTTGTACAAAACCAAGCCAAATGAGGCTGTAAGCGTGGGAGACAATAATCAATAAACTGAGTATAACTTAGGAACAGTAAATCATATAATAATAATAATCAATAGGTCAAAATGAAGCTTACAATAAAATGAATATAGATATAGATAATCTAGTTACCGAATAGTTATACAATAAGAATGATAGTCCAACAGTAGGTCCTGCAAGTTACCCGTACTTATGTCTTCGCTACTACATAACATGGATAGTGGCTAGCAGTGGAATCCAGGACTCGTGAGCTGGATGTACCTGCATCTCAGAGTTGATGTTGACTCTGGGACTCAAAACCAGTACCTTTCACTTCAAACGCCATCCCGTTATCCACTCAGCTACTGAGTCCTGATAGGCACTTGCTTGTCCTTCTTTGCTTATAATGCTTGTGAAGTTAGGCTATATCGAGGCAATACGCACAGCATGCACATATGCCAATAAGAGACTGACCAGTCGCAGTCCTAAACATCGATGGAAAGATTCAAAGAAACAATACTAAGCGAATTTAGGATTTCCATTTGTTTTAGTTAAGAAAATATTATTCTTATCTATTTGAAGAACTTATCGTGCTTTTTTGTTATTAATTGAGTGAGAATAAATTTCATTATCAGCTTGCAACTCTAAACTTTCTGATTCTAGTTTTATGTGTAAAATATTTTTGACTATTCAGTTGTCTATACACAAGTAATTAGTCAGCTTATTTAAAGCCTCCAAATGCCCTGGTACGGTTGAGAGTGGGGAGACTAAGCTTTCCCTTTCGAAACGCTCCCACATGGCCACGCGTTTATAGCCCCTGCCAAGGAAGTCCTACTCACTGCCTTCTCGTGGCATTACTGTTGTTTACGAAATTTAAAAGACGAAAAGCAATTGCCCAGCTGTCTAACCGGGTTGGTGGACTCGGAAAGTCCACCTAGAGGAGTTGGAAAACCCTGATTCCAATCCAATGGTGCACATGGGCTGGCTCCAGTATCCTGAAGGAACAAATGGCATATGAACCAATAGTTGACCATCGGCTATCATGGGACTGAATCTCCTTACGATGCTCCACTGTCTTGTTGATCAGATCTTTAGGTCAAAGACTCCGGGTGTGGCCCCTTTAAGAAAACCATCTGCTTCGGTTTGGGCACTTGAGCATTATCATAACCCTCACACAAATCAAATGAGATTTGTGTGGCGCATATGTATCTGGTGCTCCCTTGTATCAATATTTGTGTTTAAATAAATAAAATAAACACAAATTCATTTCCACTTCTAAACAATATACTAATGTACTAACGTAAAGTTGACTTTCTTTTTATTCCATTTTTAGATTACTTTATATTGATAAATGTTTCAGTTATTAAGGAAAAAAAGCAACGTTTATTTAATTTATTCTCTAAATACAAATGATAAATGGTCATGTACCCTAATAAAAGATAAAATACATTTCCCTACTTCAAATTTGTACATATTTCATAATTATTTAGTAACAGGCTTAATGTCCCCTCCCCTTATTTTACGAAAACGTTAATTGATTATTATTATTATTATTACTACATTTTTTTGTAAAACAAACTGTCATTAATGGGAGTAATAAAAAACAATTATCATGCCTAGATGTTAATTATGAGTTACTTAACGTGAAACATATTAAAATTGTAGCATCTAAAGGTGTATTTACGTATTCATCAGTCAGTCCCATGTAGTGTGACAGAGATATATGGCAATCTAACACTTTTTGGCTGCATTATGGCATCGAAAGATGTCTCTTCTTGTGGGACCTGAAAAAAAATGATTTGGGGTTGATTTTGACAACCTAGGAACATAATTGCATTGCTCGATGGACAGTTGCTTGTAGCCGACCACACACATACGTTTTGTTAGTGATTTTAGATATGTTAGCATTATACCTTAAAGGCCTAATCGCTAATATCAGTAACCTATAAGGCAAGGTGAGGTGTGCCAGTTTCATGGTTGAAGTTTTCTAAGCCATACTTTTGTTAGTGAGATGAAAGGTATCTAAGGGAAACACCTTACTGTCATCACATCCGATTACAGTTGGCCACAAGACTTTACCCTGGAGCGGTAACTTTCTGCTTTTGTTATTACCGCTACTCAGTCTCATTGCCTGACATAGTAAGAAACAAGAGTTTCAGTTAATATAACATGGTTTTATTAACTGATTTTAACACATAAACATTGGTACAAGGGGGCACCAAATACATATGAGCCACACAACAACAATAAGGTTGCGAAGAGATAGAGAATGTGAAGTGTGTTTAATAAAGGGAAGAACAACAACGAATAGAAATTAGTGTATGAATGTAGCGTGACTGTGCTATCACATTAGACAAGTCTAAATACCACAGCTGGAGTATGTATATGCATCTGATTATTATTTAAAGTCCAGTGATCACATATGGCCTTATGCTTAAAATTGAATGAAACCGAAAAGTCTATCAAAAGTTTGGATTAGCTCTCTACTCACCCTGTACTGTAAAGCAAAATCTAATTAAGTTAGCGATATTCTCAAAAGACACCTACTTAAAAATGGTTGTTAATAACAATCAAGAATACGATTTTGAAAGTGAAACATAGTTCTATGTACAGATTTAAGTGTCATGAGTGTAATTCTGTTAATACATGCTGGACATTTAGACATTTGTTATTGAATCTGACAGACTTCATACTCCTTGAAGATGAGTCAATGACAACATAGCATTCATCCCCGAAGACAGTCTAAATATAAACGACGTAATTACTCAAAATTTTACTGCTAAAGATATAAATATCACAACCGTTGACCAAATTAAAGGCTGTCTGGATTCAGAGGACAACACGTTGAGAGCGAAACTTAACGAATTTCAATGCCATTGTAAACATCAATACTAGAATACAGATGCATATAGCTAACGCGAATAAAAATAAGATAAAACGTGCGTCCATGATTCCACAACTAGCAACAATCCATCCTTTTAAAACAAAAACAATTCTACTTATTATTCGTACTTTTAACTATTAGGTGTAAAGGTTATTCCAAGGTCATTTGTATAGATAACACTACTTTCAGTATAAGTTTATACATATTCTATGTCATTTCACGTGGTTATTGTTATAACGTATGGCCTGAGCAGTCTTGGGTGCTATTCGGTCCTTCCTATCTGCCTAGCCCAGCCCGTTAAGTCCAGAACACAAATAACAGCCTCAGCAGTATGAATCATTTTTTACAAGCATACTGGGTTATATATACTAACCAAACAGACCACATATATCAAAAATAGAAAAATAACATTTGTACAGTAATTGGCCAATGTGGCTGTAGCTAGGGGGAAAGTAATCAATAATAATAGTTCCAAGGTCAAAATAAAGGTTATGATAAGAGGAACACGGAAACGATTAGGTCACTTATTTAACAACTATCCAATAGGGAATGGGCATATTGTATTTGTCCATAAATAGACCTCAGATTTAAGTCACTTATTTAACAACTATCCAATAGGAATAGGCGTATTACATTTGTCCATAAATGGACCTCAGATTTATGATTCATAATTCGCCAGGGGATACAACAGTTATTTTACTGAAAGAAAGCATAAGTACTTCTCAAGTTAGTACAATCTAATCTCACAGGTGGACCTACAACGTCATTCTTGTATTTCTCTATCGAAAGTTACATTTGAATACAAATTTACGAAAGAGTAATATAGACGGTGATTGGAGATTAACTTAATATTACCTTATTTCAATTAGTCATACCATTCAATATACGTGTTCGTTGACGACAAAATACACATTGAGAATTTAACATACTCAAACATACTCGTTATGTTGCAAAATACTTTATCACTTCTTGATACTATTCTGACAATGTGAGAAGTGGCTAGAAAACCAAACAATCATTTCCAAATATCACTCAACCATAGTATGCTTCCATCTAATCTTTTAAATGAACACTTATTATCACTAATCCTCATAAACATGCACAAAATCTCCGCCTCAAAATTGATTTCACAAACGATAACTTACAAGGATGAATCTAGTGTTATTCAAGTAATTTACAAAATAACCTAATTAATATCCAACTCAGATCATTTTGACTGATGTACTTTGATGAATGTCTTCAATCAATTGACTAACTATATATACATATATAATTCAGTATTAGTATCATGTTCCGTATTGTTTAATAAGTGAACTACCCTAATCATGTTATTTCATAAGTAACATTTTGTGTGTTTTTTTCATTTCTACTCATAAACTTTCAGGCGTTTACGTTCTACACTTCAACTATGTGACAGAATTGTTATATGTTTGTTTATAGCAGCCTCATATACTCCATGGTAAGTTGCTTCCTATTGCAGTAACCATTCGTCAACTTACGCTTAACGATGTCCGACTTTAAGAGCAGTTGTTTGACTTTTCGAACTAGTTTCAACTATCTCAATCAAGATATTCACATGAAAGTGTCTATATTCCATTAAAAGGTATACTGAAAACTATGAAGTTGAGCTCTGTGACCGAGTTAAACGTTACAACGATTTATTGTGTTAGATTTGTTCACCTTCCCCACGTTTATGTATTTCCATACTTACATAGTCGTGGAGTAAACAGATGATATAGTTTTCTCTGTTCAGTGAACAGTAGCGACAAGAACACGTTTCTTGTGAACACGTAAAGTGTAAACATAAAAACGCTGTTCTATTCTTTCGGATATAAATTGACGTCTATCTGCCTGATTTGTGAAAAGCAAATGCAGTCACTGTGCAATATGATTGCTTCATCCATCCAAGGTATATCATCAACCTTAGATAAACACAAGTGTTATTGTGCACAGAATTATGGCACAACTGGGAAAACATATTTGAACTAATCAAATAAGGAATTCTTCTTTGCTGCAGTGATTCAAAACTAGACTACTTTACAAATCCTTTACTGCACATATTGATCTTAACTGCGGTATCCTAATATTGTGGGTTCCAACAATGGTCTATTCGTAATGACGCACTGTCAACGACCCCATACTGAAAAAAGCGTCTATCCCTCTCTCCAACTGACAGTAGCCTGTAATATAAATTTTTCAGATTCACTCTAGTCTTTCTATTACACTCTCTTTATCACTATCACTGACGTTTTATTCTTATTGTGTTACGTCTTATCTCTAGAAAGTTCTAGTTCAATCCAACTGTCACAAGTTTAAAAATGTGAGAAATCTGGTTTCAATTATTTTGTTTTCGTCGACCTTAGAATAAAGAAAATATGTTTGTTTTTGTTTCTTTTTCTTTTCATTAGGCTTTCATTATGAAGTAATAACGAGATTACTAGTTTGGTTAATTATATATGGGTGTTTATGTACACATTATCTGTTAGTTGCTAGTGCTCATTGTTTTCAGTTGACCGTGAAACAATTGAAAACTATTTATTAAGTAGCATGACTTGAATCTCTCTTTCTCTGTATCGCTATCTGACTTTCAGTCTACTTTCATAGCATTAGTTATTCATCTGATCGTCACTTTGTGTTAGAAGTTATTCACCATCAACGTAGAGCGTTGAACAAATGTGTGTCAGATCAAATTCCTATACCATATTAGCATAATGAGATGAAATCAATATGGCGGTCATAAAGGCAATCCAAATAATGTAGTGGCAATGATCATGTGAACGACTCAAGATTGGCAATGTGGTTCGAAAAGACACATTAGAAAAGTGAATATGAAGGAATACTGAAATTCAACGTGTAATTGAGTGAAATAGAGTTAGTAAATTTGTGCCATTGTGACCGATCCTGAGACATGTCATCCGAAGTCTGCAGCAACTAATCGTGGCTATCGCACCGACCTCAGTTTTTCATGTCAACTCGTTCATTCTGACATTTTTCATTTCACCGTTAAAAAGTCTCCAAATGCTGCATTCAAGAAATAACACATTTGTCTATCCATTTCCCAATTCTCATTTTATACTAATAAATCGTATAAAGCACATTGGAATATCGCGTTACCTAACTCAATAGTTAGAATATTAATCTATGATGCTATGTTGTTACCATATACATCGATGACAAAACACATAATTGGAACGGGGCAGAGAACTGACATCAATGCAGCTTTTAAAACGTTGTATAGAAATTGTCAAGGACGAATTCTCAAGTTTATAGGAGCCTTGGCTATTCGTAAATTTAAACGCTCCTTATAAATACAAAAACAATTTGTCGTAACTTTGAATTTACCCTGGTAATACCTAGGATAATGCGATAATTTCCTATTCATTCTATACGATATTAATTTTCTCTCTCCTTTATTACTATGTTTATTTGAACTTTCATTTAATTGACTTTCATTAATTTTCAAATAAAATGCCTTGATCAGATTGTTCAAAATGTATAGCGCAAATGCATTACACTTTTCACATCAACCCCGTCTTCTCATTACTCTATCGAAATTTTTACAAAAGGAACTAATTGCTTTAAATGTTGTTACTCCATTTCACTGTGAAGATACGATCGGTATTATAGCTTTGCAACTATAAACCAGTAACACCTTCTATATTCGAATCGTCCACAAATTAGATAAAACCAGAATTCAGATGCGAAGAGGTAGGAAAGATATATTTGATGCGTTATCAATATATCGAGAATCGTTTGCTCTAATCTGGTTAGTAAACGTAGGAGCTGGGTCTTAACGTGATCTAGTACGGATGCATGATCGAAAGCCTTCAGTTAAACAAGTCCACTTAAAACAATGTGGTCAGCATCCAATGTCGAATACTTAATGAGCTATTGATTTTGGGGAATTATTTACAGCTACAACTGAATGTTTAGCTTACCGCTTAATCCGAAATACGTAGTTTTTTGTGATATTAGTAGGTAGCAGTAAAGTCGGGAGTGTTCAAAGATAGTCATGTCATTAGTTCATGTTATAGTTATTGACTATTCAACTGAGCTGTATCAATACATGTAACCTTATTCGTTCAGTTCCTGTTTATAATTGTAATGTATATTGGAAAGGTTGGGTTAATTATTACTCACTCTTGAATTATATTTCTTTTCACGGCGATAGATATTGTTATTTCCACTTTATTGTTGTTTTTTCTACATTTCGTTAAGCTGTTTATTTGTTACTCTCCAAGTCGTAAGTTGTTGACACTTAACTTAGGTGGTTGAAGGAAGTCGACAGAAAACCTTGGACCTAAGGTTTTTTTGTTTTTTTCTGACTCGTCGACGGGGCGTACTTACAATAGTGGGGGAAGTGTTTGTTGTTGCGTTATTTGAACCGGAGTTATCTGGCTTTATAGTCTAAGCTATCCGGGTCACGACTAAAGTTTTATAAGATTGAGATATTCAAAATTGATCGATCACTGTCGACAACCTTTTACCATTCAATATCCCAATATAGTACAGGCGATATCAAACCTCGTAGACTAGTGATCACATTACTATTTGATCGACAGGACTCAATCAATCATACTATATAATAAACAAACATGACATTTGTTACTACTCAGTAGTCAATCACTTGACTTATTCACTGGACTATTCGTTTACTTATTATTACATCTGTCATGTTAATAAATTCTTTGATCTTAAAGTGTTGATGAGACAAGATTTACTGACTAGTTATTTGAACGGGTTTAGTTTCGATTAGATCTTTTAAATTACAATATAATCTTTCATTCCATGTATATTCAATGTTCATTTCATGGAATATTCAACGTGTGAATTCATAAATATATGTTTGTATATTCTTTCTTTGAGGCTGTTATTACGTGATTTCCATGCATCATGGGGTCTAACTACACTGTGGTCTGTATGGATTGCAGCAATTTTCGGTGGTGCATTCCAATATGTTTATCTAGATAGGTAAGTAGAATATCTCACAATGTGTCTCACTTTATTTCAAAATTTTTCTGTATATGAATCGGGAATCTTTCTAGGTGTTCTTTCTTTGTCAAAGTCTTCAAAATAATCAGTTGCTAGGAGTTCAGAAAATAATTACTGAGTTCATAAAAAAACACAATAGTTTCTTATAGTTAAGCTATCAACATGATAGTGATTTTACCAACCAAGTAATTATCATGAACTCAATAGAACAAGTTTACTGATTATTAGAACTTCTTTCTTTACAAAATGCATTCCTGTAGTAAAAAAAACCCAATAGAATGAATTTAGAAATTCAGATATAGATGCATTTGCCTGACGAAACGCGGGTTTTGAAATAAAGAAATAAACTTAAATGAAATCTCGCGAGGGGGAATCGTGAATAAACACTGCTGAGGGGTCCCACAATAGGACGAAAAGGCCGTCCAGTGCAACCAGTTTTTCCATGGTGGTCTAGCTTCAATTGATTCATCATCTCAAATATTAAAGTTACTATAATATCCACAAAACCCCTTCTGATAGTAATCAACATATGCTCACTAGTGACTGACTCTAAGAGGTATTTCCTGGAGTTCTAGTGAGAAGTAGTGATCAGTGGAGTTCAACCAGGTCTGTTATGAGATAGTAACTCACTGAAGACGTTGGTGGGTGTGTAGCTCAACTTCGTGGATTGGTTAAAGTTAGACATTAACACTATCGGATGCCGGCTCAGTGGTTCTAGAGGTTAAGCGCTCGCGCACGAGACTGGTAGGTCCTGGGTTCGGATCTCGCAAGGCGGTATCGTGGATACACACTGCTGAGGAGTCCTACAATAGGACGAAACGGCTGTCCAGTGCTTCCAGTTTTTCCATGGTGGTCTAGCTTCAATTGATTCATCACCTCAAGTGTTTAAGTTACTATAATATCCACAAAACCCATTCTGATAAATGAAATTGTTAAACATTGGAAATAGGAGGTCGAACGTGGGTAAATAGACTTAGAATATTGATCACAAAACATTAAAATCATTACGTAATATGAAGGATGTAAATAATTATACAATGATGAATACAATATTTACAAACTTCTTATTACGTAATGATTTTAATGTTTTGTGATCAATATTCTAAGTCTGTTTGCACACATTTGACCTCATATTTCAAATGTTTAACTATTGATAAGACTTTTGTCATCGTAATTTAATATCGTTTAAAAATCCCAATCATATTAAAAGACTAATATTTGAACGAAGAATATTCTTTTCGATAAATTCTCTTCAGGTTCTACAATTGTATATCCAAATTAATAATCCGAAAAATTGGCCAGGTTAAAGGCAAAGCCAATTTTTCGGATTATTAATTTGGATATATAATTGTAGAACCTGAAGAGAATTTATCGAAAAGAATATTCTTCGTTCAAATATTAGTCTTGTAATTTAATATTCTTACTACTATCAGTATGCCTGTCTTTCCACTATCAACTTGTACTTTTACCTATTATGCTCGGTGACATATTTTATTTCATTGTGATTATAGACTCAAATAGCCTTCATTGGTCTAACATTTTCTTATATAGTTGAGATCATGTATCAGTTGAAAATAGATCACCATGGAAAACCTGGAAGCAATGGACGGCCATTTCGTCCTATTGTGGGACTCCTCAGCAGTGCTCACCCACGATTCGTATAAATGAAATTGGTTAACTAATAGACAATTTGAGGAAGTTCAGCGAAGGGATCTCTTTTCACTGAATTCATTATTTGTGTTACGAAATCTAGTATTATAATCTTTCTATTACGTCATCGTGGTTATTTGTGTTCACATTTCCTTACAGAATTAGTACTTTAACAAAACATTTTGATATATATACGATTGTACAGCTTCATACTCAATTCGTTGAAAAAAGATCCCCTCACTGAACTTCGTGTTTTTAATTTTTGGTGTTTAAATGGGAATTATATATCAGTTTGAGGAAAGTATGTTAATTATTAGATCAATCGCTCTACAATCGAACTAATCTCATAATCAGACTTAATTCTTACCCTCAACATCATACCAAATATTTGAATTATATTTCAAAACTACTTATATTGTTATGATGAAGTTAGTAAGCTACTATTCCAATACTACTCTAATAAGAAATCAGCAAAACTCATACAGGACAGTGTACATGTGTTGGGAGTAATATGGAAGAAAGCTAACGGTGGTCGAATCAGGACATAATATTAACATGTGAAGTTATTGACTTTTGATCTAAGCGATATTAGAAGAAACGAAAACTCATCAAATTCAGTGTTGTGTAGACTATGTCTAAAAAGTTAACACCAATCTGCCCGTTCTGGGCACTGTACCCTAGTAAATCTATTGCGCATATAATGTAATGAACAACAAAAACGATTCGATTTTAAATTTCTCACAGAAACGAGAAATAATTCCCTGAATTCTGTTTACCTTGTTCACAGATATAACTAATAGAATGAAGTTGTAGACGGTAGCAAATAACATCAGATAGAAAAGATCATATAAAAATCACCGCATTCAATTTTTGACTTTCTATTTACCATAACAACTAGTCATTTTGCGCATGTGTGTTACCGAAAGTTGGTGAAAGTGTATGCTCCACAATTGTTTGCATTATTGTTTGTCCAACCTGAAAGTGTGTTTATGTAATCCTCAGTACTGATTAAATTCCATAGTCACTAGACGAGATGGATCAGAATCCCATGAAGTGCACGAATACATGAACACTGAAGATGAGCATTGTTGATGAGTACTGGTCAATAAAAAGCATGGATTAAAGGCTACCTGTCGACTGTTTTCAATCATCTAATATACGCTACATCTATATACTTTTTGTTGTCTGTACCAGACTGTTTCGACGATGACTGACTGACTGATTAAGTTCACGGGTAAATTTGAGTTGTGATATGAGTGAGAGGATCTAAACAGTGGCACTAGACATATCAGTTGACACTGCTGTGTCTCATTATCATATGACGAAGAACATAGTAAGTTATGAATACCATTGATCATGGTGAACTTGAACGATTACACAATGATTTTGTATTACTGAACAAAATCAAATTACTGAGTGAATATTAGTGGATGACTAAACATCAGAATATGTGATATAAAAAGTATTCGATTAAAGTAATCTCTACCAACGAGAGGATTATCACGCCTTCCTTCCACAATGCAGACGGATGTGATATGAGACTGAAGTGATATATTTACTGTTCTGCATTACAGTTTAAAATTTATTTTAACATGAATCATAATTTTGGTTTCCAAATGATTACCACCCTTAACACAGTTATTGAATAAAACCCTCTGATACAAAATGCTATGAACAAATCAAATATGACAGTGTAATTTGGTAATGGAGTTAAGGTTTATGTATTTGTCACTGAGTAATATTTTCTGTATGAGAACTGTTTCTAACATGAACCAATTGTCTGAACCGAATGTGTGTCGAATCCGAGACTTTTAAGTACAATTAATCGACTGATTATCCATTGGTAACCGAAGTTGAAACTATCCTCAAACATGCTGCATTGTAAAACACTGAAAACACTTATTCACAATGAAACTGATTATTTACTCCGCAATATCACTCATGAATCCACTGCTCTAATGAGATAAACCGATTCTCAGATTTTTGAGTATGTTAAATTCTCAATGTGTATTTTGTCGTCAACGTACACGTATATTGAATGGTATGACTAATTGAAATAAGGTAATATTAAGTTAATCTTCAATCACCGTCTATATTACTCTTTCGTAAATTTGTATTCAAATGTAACTTTCGATAGAGAAATACAAGAATGACGTTGTAGGTCCACCTGTGAGATTAGATTGTACTAATTTGAGAAGTACTTATGCTTTCTTTTAGTGAAATAATCATGTGAAGTGACATAGAATATGTATAAACTTATACTGAAAGTAGTGTTATCTATACAAATGACCTTGGAATAACCTTTACACCTAATAGTTAAAAGTACGAATAATAAGTAGAATTGTTTTTGTTTTAAAAGGATGGATTGTTGCTAGTTATGGAATTAAGGACGCATTTTTGATCCTATTTAATCATCAAACTCGTCACCTTTCATCACATACGCGCAGTGCATCATCCGCTGACACCATATTCTTGAGAACTTGAATAATGTTTAAAATATTTTTACCATTGGTACTGAATTTTCGAGTTTTCGTTGTCTTGATTCTCTGACTAAAGTTCTGTTTTTCTTTTTTGACATAAATACATCCTGTGAAGGTTATATTGATATAACCATTAAATCCTGGTGGCAATAATTGCTGTTTTCGTAGCTCTAGTTAGAATTTCAAACTGTATCACAGTCGAATATGATGTCGCCTGCTCAAGTAATAAGCAATAACACTCCAATAAGACTGAGTTGTTTACAAAGTAACTGACCACCTATTAATAACCAACGTCATGCTGTTCAACCTTTGCCTTCAAAATTCTATCTATCGTTGTATGCAGGTTATCGACCACGATTGTAGGTAGCGTAAGTTCTTGTAATGCATCCTAAGTTATGTAACTGAAGTAAGTCAAATATGTTGATAATCGAATATTAAAGCCAATAAGACATCGTTTCAAATGCTCAACTCTTATCTATTCACTGATAAATTTAAATCGACTTGTTACTTTAGTGTAGAAATATGGTTGTACTCACTGGCTTAACTATAATAGTAGCTATATGTTATTTATCTAGTCAAAACCAGGGATTAATGCCGTAATGTCATAGATTTACGTTCGAGCACTAATGAGTTCTTCAAGGACTGAAGAATATATTTCAAAAATGATTAATAGGTTTCAACCTCAGCACGAAAGAGTTTCTTGTAACGGTCTAACTATTATCCCCGTTAAATAAGATATATATGTATAAGTAAGCCTACTAATTACATATGCTTGTATCATTGATAAACTTGATTTAATTTTGAAGTCTCGATTCCAGTACATTACATTCCGACGTAAACATTCACACAATTACGAAATAAGATTCATCCATAATACACAATATAGTAACTCAGTAGATAATGCATTTGACTTTTCAAACGAAAGATGGTGTTTTCAATTCTTATTTTTTGAGAACATCGATAACAGGATGCAGTTACATCCTGGTAACAAGTACCAAATAGAATAGGACACGCATAACATGGTTCAGAATCGATCACAATGGCGTAGGTGTATATACTCTTTATCTCCCCTAAAACTTTGAGATTAAAATTGCTTCATAACTTTCTTCTTTCCTATACTATATCCTTATATACAACCCGTCTTTTATATACTACCACCACCACCAAATCAACTAATTCTATGAATTTGGTGTTCATTTTGTTGTGCTAACGAGGTATGGCAACTTGGACCGATGCATAAATGTGCCTGATCCTACGTTGTAGCTGAGTGAGTGACTAACGCATAACTTATTCCATTGATTGCCATCATCTAACTTTACTTAGAAACTTATAAATGTTGTAGTTTACCAAGAGACACACGAGTTTTTTTTACATTAGTGTTCAGTTTCTACCAACCACTAATCTTACTGAAGACAAGTTATACAAATAAAATCACCTTTGTAGTTCTTAAAAGTGATCAGGAGGGGATTTGTGGAGATTTCAGTATTGTTTTCAAAGTTGAAATCATGAGTCAATTGAAGCTAGACCACCATCGAAAACCTGGAAGCACTGGACGGCCGTTTCGTCCTATTATTATTGCTGAGGAGTCCCATAATATGACGAAACGGCCATCCAGTGCTTCCAGGTTTTCCATGGTGGTCTAGCTTCAATTGACTCATGATTTCAATCTTAAAAGTGAATTTATTTAGTGATCATTTTGTGTTTCATAACGATTGATTTTTTTATTTACATATCATTACTATTTATAAGTAGTGTAAATGTTTATTTCTGAAATTTCGTATTATTTTTGTTAATGGAAACATTCAAGCATACATACATGAACATTCACGTGATAATCTTATCGCCAATTCAGTCTCAGTAATAAAGATAGTAGGTTGATGAACCTGTGTTAATCCTGACAGATTTCCTTGCAGTGAAGGTCCTGCTTCTTCTTGAAAATGTTCACTGATGATGCTGATACCACTTGTTCTAGTAATGCGTTCCAGTTATTGACCACTCGATGAGAAAAACGGGACCCCACCTTTAGTTTATTAGATCGCGGTTTCTGAAACTTCTTGCTATGACCTCGGAGATTATTAGTGCTGGAGGGAGCAAAAAGATAAGACATGTTAACATCCAATCCTAATTAAAGATACGAAATGACAGTATAAGGTCACCTTGTGTCCTACGATAAGATAAGGGGAAAAGGTTTAAACGTTCCAAACGCTCATCGTAAGGGAGTTTAGAAAGACCCTTCACTAATTTTGTCACCACACTCTAGACACGCTCAAGCTATTTAGTATCCTTTATCAGACATGAGCTAGCTGCTTGTATGAAGTACTCTAAGTGTGGCCTAACATAGGTGGAATATAAAATTCGAAACATCTCCTCGGCGAAGTGACCATAGCGCACGATCACCTTTGGAAGCAGCCGCATTGCAGTGCGTAGTAGTTTTCAAGTCGTGACTTATAGTTACTCCTTAGTCTTTATGCTCTTGAACTCGTGGAAGAGATGTACCAATAATGGTATAGTGGTAACTAATATCGTGCCCGATGTGCATGAACACGCTCTTCCTGGAATTAACTTCCAAGCCGCAGTCATGAGCCCATCTAACTAATTCGTCTAAATCAGCTTGCAGATGACAACGATCAGTCTCACTTCTTACTTTTACCAAGTGTTTATACAACATTGATGACAAATTTTATACAAACTAAAGTCTTAACTCGAATGAATCGTTTCACAATAATTGAGCACTGAGTATATGGATAACACTAAAAATGGCAATTATATTTGTAACAATCTGTTCTATTGAAGTCACCAATAATTTTAGTGCTTCTCTTGACAGTATAAACTAAGTGTAATCAAAGAAATCATTAACAATCGGAATTTTGATTTAAATTGCCCCTAAATGCCCTGCTACGGCAGACGGTGGGGAGAGTCTGCTCTCCCTCTCAAAATACTCTCACATGGCCACGCGTATATAGCCTCTGACAGGGAAATCCTACTCATTGAATTCTCGCGGCATTACTGTTGTTTAAGAAATTGAGAGGACGAAAAGCGAATATCCGGTGCTTTCACCGGGTTGGTGGACATGGAAAGTTCACCTGGAGGAGTTGGAAAACCCTGATTCCAAATCAATGGTGCACATGGGCTGGCTCCAGTATCCTGAGGGAACAAATGACGTGTGAATCAATCGTTGGTCACTGGTTATCATGGGACTGCATCTCCTCACGATGCTCCACTGCCTTGTGGATCAGATCTTTAGGTCAAAGGCTTCGGGTGTGGCTCCTTTAAGTAAACCACCTGTTTCAGTTTGGGCACCTGGGCAGTATCTCAGCCCTCACACAAATCATATGAGTTTTGTGTGGCGCATATGTATCTGGTGCTTCCTTGTATCAATATTTATGTGTTTAAATAAATAAATAAACTTGTTCGGAGCTAGATGCAAAAAAATCGTTTATTCTGATGTTCGCTGTTTACTATGTGAGAAAGGATTAGGACTATTGAACTCGTACATAAAGTGATCTCTCATTTCATGTTGAGGATCATCTGCCAGCATTTGTAAGTGAATTAGTCACAGCGCTATTCTTTCATATTTGATAGACAGTTAACACCGTGTCAGAAAAGAAAATCCTTTGTCTAATACATATCATTGAAAGCATGAGTCAATTGACTCACTACATCACTACATTAGCTTTCATTCATTTCCAAAAGATGTGTCAGATATATGCTTATAGAAAACAGTTCTAATGTTGGTATACATCTCATCATATATGTGAGATTTCCTATATAGTGTGCGAAGATGGCTCAGTGGTTTGACTTTCAATCACTAAATAGTCGTAATTTCAAACCGTTCTTTAGCTATCTCTATTTAGTCAGTTCGATGGTTTCACTAGCCATTACACTTGGAACTGAAGCTGAGTACACGTTTTTCTACTTAGTAGATTAGTCATATATATGATCAAGTAGTTTAATCTTACTTGTTTTAATTTTCTTCATCTCTTTAGATTTAAATCTGTTGAACTGATGATCTATTTAGCAATTTCCATTTGTCCAGCTTATAGTTTCATTTACATGGTGAGTAATCATATATTCATAAATTTTATTCTATTCATTTGTAAGAAGGAAGTTAATCGTCATTTGAATTTGAATACTAGTTCTGTGTAGAAGATGAATCAAAAGTAAAATACATATTGTATTCATGAAGAATGGAGATTATGGAAAAGATTTCTAAGTCTAGCGAATTATCTTGGATGTGTTACGTCCTACTGTAGTGTGGTCTACTTATATCCATATAAGTAGTGTATGGTGATAGTCAGACATAGAATGTATTTACACAGAAGATCGATAAGGAATGAACAAGAATGAAGCGTAATCGGTACGGAAACACATGAACAATAATAATCGGAGAAGAAAGACTGATATCTGCAGAAGCAACAGTTAAGATTGTCACAATTAATTGTTATTTTGCAAATTAACTATTCATTGTATGGTTATCAGAATTTAGTGAGATAGTCTGTAATTTGTACTTAGTTAAATTCGATTGTCCCCGACTAGTGTTTTGTTCACTACCTACTACTCGTTATTTCTTTTTTTAAAGTCTGAGCTTCTATCGAAGATTATATGTTCACCATGAGACTCAAAGGTTCTGGGTTCGATCCCCGGTGACAGAATTATGAATGTTCACTGCTGAACAGTTTGATACTAGAATGAAGTAGACGTAAAATGCTTTCTAGTTTATCAAGACCATTGTGTTTCCATGTAATCTATTCGACGAACCTCAACAACCTTCACAAGCTCCCTACAGTAACAAGTTCTCTATTTTTTTATTTTCTCATTTTCTAGCATGAACGATCTGGTTTACCATTATTATTTACTGGGGCATTTGTTTATTTATCTGGTGTGATATTTTTCAAATTAGATGGTCATATCCCATTGGCACATGCAATATGGCATTGTTGTGTATTTATTGCAACATTTTTACAATTCAATGCTGTGGATACATTTTTAATAACCAACTAGATAAATAAAGAAAAGAAAAAAAGTGATAAAGGAAAAAAAAGAAGAAAATCAATATTATTGATTTATTTATCTATTTTTGTTGTTATTTCATTGAGCATAATAGTCATAATTTATTCAATAATATACATGTACATGTACATAAACAGTAAATGACTACTGATATTACTTACTTAATTACTCCTGTTACCCTTCGTGGAGGAGCATAGACCGTTCACCAGTATTCTCCATCCAACTCTGTTCAGTACAATCCTTTCCAGTTCTTTCCAGTTTTTATTCATTCTTTTCATATCTGCTTCTATTTCCCGACGTAATGTGTTCTTTGGCCTTCCTCTTTTCTGCTTCCCTTCTGGATTCCAAGTTAGGGATTGTCTCGTGATGAACATTGGTGGTTTCCTTAATGTATATCCTATCCACTTCCAACGTCTTTTCCTAATTTCCTCTTCAGCTAGAAGCTGGCTTGTTCTCTCCCACAAAAACCTGTTGCTGATAGTATCCGGCCAGTGAATGTTGAGTATTTTGCGTAAACAACTGTTTATAAATATTTGAACCGTCTTGACGATGGATGTAGCAGTTGTCCACGTTTCAGCTTCGTACAGTAGGACTGTCTTGATGTTCGTATTGATGATTCTCACTTTGAAGTTAGTTGACAGTTATTTTGAGTTCCATATGTTCTTCAATTGCAGAGACTACTGATATACTTAATTCAATGCAGATACTATTCATTAGCTTCTTGTATGTAACAGATATTCTTAATTTCTAATATTTAATATGTAATCTTTATTTGTTGCCTATGCTTGATATGTTAAACATTATGATTGATTCCTTCTTCTTCTGCTTCTGCTCCTCCTTCTTCTGTTTTCGTTTCCAGATCACAGTAACCTTCAAGATTTGATCCCTTCTATCTGTCTGTTTGTCCGTCTGTCTCTCTTTCTCCCTAGAATATTTTCATTACTATTATTGTTTGTTTATAACATATAAATCTAGAAAATGATTATTTTATTCATTTTTATTTATTATTTTTCTGATATCATTTTACAGAGTTATTTTCAATGTTTTTCAATTATATTTTCTAATCAAATATATCAGTTAAAGGAAAGAATGTTATGAACAGTAATGGTTATTCATTTGGTATTATTTGTTTGAATCTTCCCATTGATGTTTTGGACTGCAACTGGTCAGTCTCTAATTGGCATATGTGCATACTAAGCGTATTGCCTCGATATAGCCTTAATTCACAAGCATTATAAGCAAAGATGGGTAGTTGCTAGCAGTGGAATCCACGACGCGCATTTCGTTCTATTTGGGACTCGTCAGCTGGATGTACCTGCATCTCAGAGTTGATGTTCACTCTGGGACTCGAACCCAGTACCTTTCACTTCAAACGCCATCACGTTATCTACTCAGCTACTGAGTCTTCAAAGCCATTTGCTTGTGCAAGTGAATTTCATCTTCACTCCATTGCATGAAGTAATAATTTAGGGATTATGTAAAGGTAATGAGAATAAACAGATCAAGAATCATTTTCTCTGTTCTGATAAATCATGTCAATCAATCAGCATTCCCAACTCAATGTCATATTATACGAAATGTTTAATAGGGGTAATAGTTTTTTTAGTCACATTATTATAAGAAATTTTATTAAGTTTTGATAGAACAATAAGAAGATGGACAGGACATGAAGAATGTGATGCACTTACTCTTTACAATTCGAACAATCTGGTCACATATGTACATGTCAAAGCATTTTGTTTAAAAACTAATAAGGGTCAATTAACTAAAAGTTAAAATGAATATAAAGTGATAAATATAAATAAAGGAGAAAGAGAAGTAGCATACCATGAAGAGAATAGGACACTGTGGTATTACCCTAGATCATTTTACGACTTAGGGTAAATTCAAGGTTACGATAAATTGTTTCTAGAAATATAGGATTGTTGAATTTGCAAATAACCAAGGCTGCTATAAAGCTAAGAATTCATCCTCGACGATTTCTATACAACGCATTAAAGGTTGTATTGAAGTCAATTCTATACTCCGTTTCAAACATATGTCCTAATATCGATGAACATGATTAATAATTTCCCACGTTTATCAGAGCATCTAACACTACCTGGTCCGAAGCCATCTAGGAACATGTTCCATTACTACTACCTATGTGTGTGTTTTCAAAAACATGTAATGGGATGTGATGTAATCGTTCATGCAGTGTCTAGGTCTAAGTGGGATCATGAGCTTAGTCCTTTCAATCACAACCAGTCTAACAGTGTAATATGTTTTCTCAATGTCTGTCTCAAAATCATAATGTTTGATCCGCCTCTAGATGGTAGAGATATAAACCATTTTCTTCTCAGCAGAATAAAGAATGGGGTTTTTGTATTAATTGACTTTTACACCTGTTTATGAACTCCACATAAAATCCGTATCAATATTATAAGAGTATGTTTAAATTAATGACAAACTTTTTCAGTAGATTAAAAGTGCATGAATTCCCGTTTGTCGACATCCTAGTTAGTTTTCATACAACACTACGAAAGGCTGATCTTAAGATTAAACCAGCCATCTGTTTCACCTAAGCGCTTATTAATATAACTTTCGTCTTCAATGTGGTTTTTACATAGGGGCATGGATTCATAGTGTAGATCCATTTCTCATCAGTTTCATTTAAAAGCTCTATTTCATCATCAAATAAAGATTGACAGCAGAAGCGCTGTATGAATAAACGAACAAGAACAGTCCGAATCGAAAGGATAGTATTCAACTAGCAACTACTTGACAAATTTTCGTTAACAAATATTTGGACCCTTTCTCTATCCAATCTAATTATTTCACATCGATCGTTATTCTGACAGAAACTGATCTGGAATACTGTAGCACTACGATTATTTATTTGGTGGTTTTCATTTTACATGCACATCGACGATTCAGAAACAATATCAACCTTCAACTTGCACTTCTATTTTTAGTTCATATAAAAGCAAATTAACACCGAATATCAACTATTAATAACTCAATCATACACATACAATCATTTATTTCTGCATTGAAAACGTTTCATATGATTCGTATGTAAACGACACATGTTGTCCTACTTACTAACATCAGCATCTGAATATGATTCGATAAGCACAGTAAAGATTTTATTTGATTGTTAAACATCATACATTTCTTTGAAGATCTTGATTTCGATTAATACCCTGAAGAAACGCAGACACATTTACTGAACGAAACGTTGTAATTATTAAAATATTACCTAATATTCACTCGTTAAACGTGGATTAATTCTGATTTCGTTATTTATGCTCTGAAGAAGTGTTTTACACTGAGTCGCGAAACATCAGAATAAATCTGATTTTTCTACCCATTGGGATATTAGAAATATATTATATTTATTTATAACAATCTACCTAATGCTGAAATTATTCTAATTTATCAAGTCAAACCTTGATAATTGATGTGAACTGAGAAACAAGAAACCCTGATAAACTACTGAGGCTATTTTTAGGGACGTTTTTTCATTTAGTTCAAAGCTTGTAAAACAGTAACACTTACTTTTATCCCTAGTCTATTCTACAGATCATAAGCTTTCGTTTGATGTATGATTCACTATGATAGCCTTTTTTGTTTTAAAGCTCATCGTAATTTAAACGTAATCTTTTGTACTCTAATTTTCTAATCTAATCCCCAGTTTTGGACGTAATTGTATTTTCCTAATTGTTGTGCGTTATGGTCAGGATGGTCTTCGATTTATTCATGTATCTTTTTATACTAATCTGATATCGGTATCGGAATCAGGAATAAATCGAGTGTTTCAGTTGACTTTGTTTTCTCTCCTCCGCACGCGCACGTGCTTGTCGGCCAATCAGGTGATAGAGTAGTTTTCATTTTTCCACCCTAAGTATAGTTGATCTCATATCCGAACTCATGCATACTCGCTTCAAGGTTAAGCCCGTCAGCTTATCGCATCAAGGTCTACATTAGACAAGTTATCCTCTGCACAAAAATGGATAGACATATCAAAGACATAACAGTAATGATATTTACATCCATTGAAGAATTTGTTAATCGTTGTAAATCCAATGGGTTAGGTGAATAATACAATTTACAATTATAGATGTTGAAATGTTCAAGATCAAAGTATAAACATCAATATTGACAAATCCTTATGAAGATAAAGCTACATGTAAAAAATTATTATCAGTATTATTATTAGTTGTAGTAGTACCTTGTCATAAAAATAGTTCCTTCGACGTATATATGATCTTGGAAGTACCAAAGTGAATACAAATAGACCTGATATGCAGACGTTTACAAAAATAAAAGAAACTGAATGAATGACCTTTTTTTCTTATTGTAAACAGAAGATTCCCAAAGAAGTAAAGAAAAAAGTTTCCAGTTTTATAAACAGTAAGGTCATCAAGTAGACCAACATGACCCCCCCCCCAAAAAAGGAGCTCATGGATATACAGAGTATTATACATAATAGAAACATGTACAAAGGTATCAATGTAAAAAAATTTATAAAAAAATTATATAAGACAATATTGGTTAAATAGAAGACATGAAGAATGATGCTCAACTGAGAAAAGACATAAAGAAAATCATTCATATAAAAGGTATATATAGTTTCAATTCACTTGTGACATATTGGACTATAAGCTAATGCAACAGGATGATTTTGAAAACGTGGCACATTATAACAGGCAGTAGTTAATTGTTGTTTATTATTCTTAGATGAACCAGTTGATAATGATGATGATGATGTGGTGTTAGTAGATATATTCATCAAACGATTTACACGCATATTAGCTTGAGCAAAACGAAATTGTGCATTTCTTACTAGTAATGTTAAATCTAAACCCCATGTTAAATAATCACAACGTAATTGTTGTTTACTTGTACCACAATCTGCTGAGAAAACAACATAAACAGGAGGATTAGTAGTTGGAGGATTCGTAGTAGAAGTAATAGTAGTAGTACTATTGATAGTGGAAGTGGAGACAGAACTAAGAGTGTTGGTATTCGAAGAAAGCATGACATAAATTTGATCTAGACGGTGATAATGTAGCATAAACATTAATGTCGTATTTTCAGTTAGGAAAAATACTGGCGGAGTTTGATGTGATGCAACAGATGAGTTCGAATCCGACATCTAGCAAAAAAATTACAAAAAAGAACAATCATTCCATGAAATAATTATAAGGCATTACATAAATGTATATCACTAAAATATTTTAGAACAAAGTTGTTCTCTGACGATGACAATGAGAGGTACGAGTTC